AAAAAAAAAAAAAAGAGAAAAAACGGAGAAATACTCTCTGCAACTGAACTTTGATCTAGCGTTGAAGCTTGATGGAATGGCCAAGAACGGCATAACTGATGTGACAAGATGGGAGAAACAGATTTTACAAATATACCCACCAACAACAGAGCCAGCACAGCATACATTAATCACTACAGTGGTGCTAATATCATGTACTCTTATGGGAACCTGTGGAAATGCATCGCAGGTTTGTTTGCAGTGGTATACCAAACGATTTAGCATCAAGAATGAAGATCAAAGTTGCACGCTTTTTCAGGTAAGTAGGCTTTAACAATAACATACAGATTGCAAAAAGTTTCTGTTTTTATTGTTGATAAAGTTTTAGCAAACTTTATCCTCAAATGTGATAATTATTTCATTGCTTCTTTCTGCAAAAAACTTTATCAAAAAATGAAAAATAAAGTTCTCAATAAAAATCAGCAAAGTGCTTCTCAGCATAATGTAGGATTGTGGTATAGAAAATTCAGTCAAATTAAAAAAATAAATTTTAAAAAAATGTAAATCCTCTAAAAACACCGTAACTGTAAAAACTCTTTAGTTTTGTTCAGCAGAAAATTCTTTGAATGTTTTCTTGAAAGCCAAAAAAGCACTCTTTCTAAAACTTTTCTGCAAAATTTATATTCTTTTATAATTTTTAAATTTTTTTTTGTCACAAGAAATATACACCCTATATGGTTCGGAATTCAGTAGAAATGAGCTCCTGAATGAGTCCAAAAATAAGGTAATTCTATTGTGCAAACAACAGAGTTATGAAAAAAAGAAATCCAAGTTGAGTAAAAAGAAGAAAACTTTTTGTTTTTTGATGAGAGAATTTAAGGCAGAGAATCGATTTTATTTAAACTTTCTTATTGGTTCTTTTTAAGTCCAGAATCAGACCCTACCCCTTAAAAATTTTTCAAAAAGTTTATGACATCAGCTGACAGCGGTGTGAAATTGCCTATAAGAATTATAAAAAAAAAAAAACAGATGTGAGTTTTGTTGAAAATCATTTTCACGACTTCATATGCAATCTATTTTGTGACGTGTTTTGGAAATTTCGCTTAAGATTTGACACTAAATTATTTTGCCCTCATAATAGCCTTATCCATGAGAAAAATTCATACTTACTAAACTTTTCTAAGTAACAAAAAATTTTTAGTTTTGCATCTGTATTCTGCATGCGGCTTACTTTTGTATCGCTTTATTATTACCTCTAACAATATTGGAAAATCTCATTAAAATTTGGGTGTTTGGCTTGCCAACATGTTTATTATATTTCATTGTCTACACAGGAGGAAGAACAGTAGCTGCCTGGTCCATTACATTTCTTTTTTTTGCGCAGGCAAGTGCTGTTTTCAGAATCTTTCAATTGACATTTAATAGTAAATAAAAGAACACAATAACTGATTACCTTATTTTATCAACTGCATTTTAAGTTTAAAGAATACGTGCCGAAAACTAAAGGTATATTTCCAATAACTTCTTTCATTTTTGCTGCTGGATTCCTCGCTGTCTCCCTTCCGTTCCTGTACCTCATTAAGGTTTGATACCATCACTTACCATCTTGTAACTTCAAATACCAAAACCCTTTGAAAATTTGTGTACGTGCGGTATTATTTTTAATCATAACTAATTTTCTAAATCATTCCAGTCCTTCATTACGCAATTTACAAAACCATTACTGAAGGTCAAGGTGCATCAAACAAATTTAAATGAAAGTTACTGATACCGAAATTTTAGGTTACTGAAACAGTACTTTATGAAGAACTTGGGAACGATCCTAATACATTACTACAAGTGATAACTTCCTCATGTTCAGCAAGATATCTCAGCTCTATGCTTACCGTAGCTAATGGATCCAACTTTGTAATCGAATTTCTTGTGCCACTAGCCACCATTCTGAAAGTCTGTTTTACGAATCCTGTTAGCAACTTGAACTATCAAAAACAATCTTTAGCGAGGAAGATCACAAACACATCGGTCAGTTGATTAAACATTTGGTTTAAAGAATCAGGTGCAATTGCTTTTCATCCGTGCTGCTTGCGACTGTTATCATTGTAAGCGCGTAAAATCTGTTCAGTTCTACATACACAAAACTTCACAAAACCTTTTAATGAAATGATCTGAATTCATGCTGCAGGAAACTTATCCCTTACTGGTAGATCACAGTCGAATATCACAAAACTTTGAAGCTATTTAAGCCAATAATTCCTTTAAGCTAAAGTACAAACAAACGATTTCTTGAAACATTTTAGGAAACTTCTATAAACATTGGTAATGGAAACTCACTGCCACTGGTTTAAAAAAAGGTTAATGAAATATGTATGCATTTCAAAACAAAAACTTCATTTAGATTGTTCTCGCAGCAACGAATTTCATATCATACTCTCCCCGATGGATTCTGGTTTTCTCCGCATTGCTCCAAAGTGTAAATCTTTTGAGAAATGAGACACCTTAACCCCACATCTTCATTTCCCTAAATAAAAAACCAAAAATTTTAAAAGCTGAATTCTTCAAATATTTACAGTAAAGTAATATAACTTATCCAGCTTAATCGACTGACTCCCTCCAACTGTCTTCAGTGATTTCGGTTTCAGATATCAGGATCCGCTACTCCCCACTGGTTCAATATCCTACTCGAAAATTGCGACTTGCTATTACCCGGTATTAATGCAAGCATATCTTGGATACCAGCACGATACTTATCATCATACTACGTTGCTTACACATCGCTCGACGGCCCTTCTGGAGATACGAAACTACTAGTCAAACAATCATGTTATCACAAGAGTAACACAGCCAACACAGACTCGCGGAAATGCCAAAACCACTCCGCAGAAAAACTGCCAAATTTGGAATCTCACTCGCATATTGAGGACTTAACAAGCAAAGCCGGAATGGAACTCGAACGAACCAATTCGCTTCCTACTTCGAAAAGACTAAGACAGAACGATGTACAAGAAATGAAGACACGTCCATAACCAGTTCAAAACCTCCGAGCTGATCACAGCAAAAATTAAAAAATAGCAGTTCTTCAAACAACTGCAAAAAACTGCTCGTCAAAAGAGGAATGTCAAAATCAACACTATGCCAATAACTCCAACCCAGCATAGGTTGGCACTAAGTCGTTATTCAGGTAATTATAACGAGAAGAAAAAAATCGACATCTATATTAACAAAAAGTTCAAAATACAAAGTTGGTAACAAAGCATAAATTTTAAAATAAAACTGATACTATAAGTACAACTTTAAAACCGTCTTGCAAAAGTAACACGTAAATCAAAGAAAAAGAGGTTGAAAATCAAAAAATAAGTTATCGACCAAGAACTGGAAAAATAAATTGTTACTTTTTCCATAACTTTTGTACGAAAACACACGGGACAAATTGCGAGATTAATCAAAAAATGAGCAAAATACGATGCAAAACACAATTCCTCCACAGCCAAAAATACCTCTGCATCACGTATCTATTGTTGTAAAACAATTCTGCCATCACGTGTCCAAATATGGTTGTTCAAAAGATCACCAACAAAATATGAAAAACTTCAAGAACAATATGAGAAAAAAAGTACACACAAAAGGTAGACCCAGAAGTCAGTAAAGTAACGTCTCAAAACTCCAAAACAAGCTCTCAGAAACATTAACTCATTACTTGCAAAGATATATAATGAAGACCATAAAACCAAAAAAACTTTCTGTAGCCATATTAAAAGAAATATGAGAGTGCAAAAATCTGAGTAATTCTTGAACAGCATCTCTTAAGAACTGTCGATAATTCAATCGTTAAACCTTCCCTTCCTTAAAATTCGACCGACTCTTGAATTATCCTCGAATAAAGACCTTACCATAGAAACCTTAATTAAAAACAACGCTGACAGTCACCGTCTCAGCTGTGACAAAAGCTCTCCTAAAAAATTAAAAATTACTGAATAGTAACCTGAACGACGACAGAGAATAACATGACTCCAAGATGAATAGTACTCCAGAAATTTATTTGTTCGAAACTCTGTTCCAAAGCAGTTCTATCAGCAAGCTCAAGAGAAGAGTACTGTCTCTGGATGTGTTCAATCTTATTCAAGTTATCTTTCACCTTCGTCGTTACTTTCTAAATGCTCCATGTGTAAAGAAATTCAAATGCCGATAAGCAAAAAGGAAAGATTTTACGGCAATTAACGATTACTAACCCGTAGACAAAGTCAAGAAAAGATTTTTTATCCAAGTAGTTGTAGTAAAAAAACCTCAAAATTATCGATGTGGGTGCCTAGTTCTCGAAGAGCTTCAGCACTAACTATAACTTTTTCATCAAAACCACCAAGAAACTGCCCAGCTGCATCCATCAAAAAAAATTCAAAGAACACACGTTTCTCGCTCCGAAGGCTATATGCATTATCAAAACAAAATGAATAATCACCACGACCTGCACTAGCATCATCTAACAAAATCCTGTAAAATGATACTTAACAATTCAATGACTGTCCAGAAAAAGTGATAAGGAAAGAAATTACTATTATCACGGATTTCAATGCAAATAAGAGTGACTTCTAATTGAAGACCGACCTGTGTGATCCATCGTTTCGTTTCATATCTGATACGACACGAGCACCCTTCGGTGAAAGGATATAGAAACTTATATCTGCTGAACCACCTCCAGTAACCTGAAACAAAAAAATAATCACACGTACTATTTTGGTGCCGACAACTCAAGAAAAGAGACCAGCATAATATTAATGTCTGAACTGAAACAATTAAGAAATCGTTTAACTTTTCACGCCAGTTGATTAATCTGTCACAACAAACGTATTTAAATCCACTTCATATAATGCTTATTTGAAATTTTTTAAATTCAATATTAGAAAACTAAAAGGTTTTCCTCAACCAGTAGAGAGATTCTGATACCAGTAGTATGAGGTTTAAATAGCATGATTATAATAGTAGTATAAACAAGAGACCCTTCTAGATTTGAAAAAAGGTAACTTTGTAAATAAATTGGCAAAGGCCAAAACTCGGATTTTTTTGGAATTTATACGCTATCTAAAGCTTGCGAGTTGTAACCTTATTTGCTAGCAGCTGTGTCAGTTTCGTCAACAGGAAAACTAAAAAATCATATTCTTTCAGCTAATTTTTCAACAGATTTCTATAGAGTAATGAAACTTTTCAAGACCTTATTTAGTCATCAAACAGTGCTGAAAATATCGTTACCTGGTAATCGACCTCAAATGAATGATACTTCTCTAACGCAATCGTGTGATGATAACAGTCAACCTTGCCAGGTGGGACGAGTATAGTGTACGAGAATTCATCACCAAAAACGGGTATCACCCAGAAGAGAAATAAATATTTTATACAGCCCATTACCTTAAATTGCTAGAGTTCCTCAAGCCTGGGTAAAGGAATAAAGTGTGAAGCATTACGTACTTACAGAGCTCTACAAAAACGACTAGATAGTAATTATAGAATCAGTGACAAAAAAAGAAAAAGTTCGATACCATTGGACCCAGTTTTTTC